GCTTGTGGTACTAAGATGAAAAACAGCCATCATTGAAGCAGTCAGAGCTGGAATCTTCTAAAGTGCTTGGGATCTGTGGATAAAGCACTAGATTCTTGGGAGTTCTTTAACTGAACTAAGATACAACTTAACCAGGGGCTATGCCATCTTTTAATTCATGTTAATGTGGAGTGAAATGTGTATAAGAATTAAAAAAAAAACCAAAACACAAACCCAAACTTGCAGTACTATAACTCCAGGTTTGGGAATATATCTTGTTTTATACAGTGTTCAGTAAGTATCTGGTTTGTATAATCGTTAAGGAAGAACTCTCCTCCCCAGTGGTAAATCCTTTTACTTTATTGGTATTTTAGTAACATTCAGTGCACATTTTACTGCTGAAATGGTTAATTTGTTAGTGAACACATACATTTATCTTGTTCTGAATATGTGGGTGTTCATTCTGACTGAATGCATACATCTAGATGCATGCTGTAGAACATAATGGAAGCTTAAAATACTCAGTTCTTGGCATCATAGTAGCCAGTTTAAGCATTTGCTCAAGATCTCCATTCATGAGTAGCCAACTCTGAGTCATCTTCTGTGTATCTCATGACAGTTTGGGGATAACTATATTTTGAGAGAGTTTGGGTTGGGGGTAACTCTGCAGATAACTTCCAGTTAAGATGAAAATAGTTTCCCAGGGATTGTCTGGTTCCACTGAGCTATGAGATTGAGCTGGAAGCATGCTGAATCCCTGAGCAGACTAATGAAAGGCTGTTGCTGTGGGCAGCCTCTGTTGCCCACTCCCTTAGAGCTAGCATATAGGCTCTTTAGCATCCTTACTGTCCCCATGTGTTGTGTGGTCCTGTTCAGGAACCCCACCTTGGTCAAATGTGTCCTAATCTGTAGCAGCTCCTGCCTGCTGCTCTGATGATGAAGACCACAGAACAGGTCCAGACATTCTTCTCTGCGTAAGGTTTAGCTTACACCCTGTTATTTCTGTTCTGTTTTATGGGATTACTAAGCACTTCAGTACTAAGTTTCCTGTAGAGTTGGGGATGCCAAACCTTGATCAGGACCACAGTGATTCTTTGCTACAACTATTAACAAATCAATCACTTTTATCCACCTCACAGATGTTAGTGTTAACCCTAAAGTCTAAGACAAGTTTTCTAGTGTACATGCTTTTCTGGATGTCACTTTGGGAACACCTCTACTCATACTCTGTTCACACCACTGAGTTTAAATAGAGGATTTTTACCGCCAGATTTGTCACTCATTTGCTATGTGACCTTACAGACTAGGTATCTCAGGGGGACATGTAAACTTTAAGGCTTCTTTTGAAATGTCCTCTTTGAAAGGCAATAGCACTACTAGATGGAGGATTCAGAAATTTTTAAATGAATACATAGTGTATTTATATGTGCGTTGATATTTACGTAGTATAATCAATAATTACTTACAAAAAAGTATATTATATTCAAGTATGTACAATAAATGGTAAATCCAACATTGCTTGACATGTCTAGCCTAAATACTTTTTTGTAGAGGAAAAATGAAAAAAAAATTAAGGATTCTTCTTGACTTATAAAAGTTTCAAGATGTAATATCAACAGTTAGGTGATTTTTTTTTTATTGTCTGCAAAAATCTTCATGAGAGAAACAGAATAGCTCACTAAATATTTCAGGCATTAAAAGGGAGAAAAATCTTAAAAGCTGCATATTTTCTTTGCTTCAGTATTACAGTCTAAATTGAAGGTGAACCCATTTTTTTTAAAGTAAAGATACTCAACTAAACTTTACTGTTTCATGTTCAAATGAAAACAGGATCTCTAAGACTGTGTACCATAAAAGTTTGAAAACAACTCAAAATATTAAAGGTATTAATAAGAAAATCCACTTTGAGATTGGTTAGCAGTAGAATAAGCAATTTACCTGACTCAGCACAACTGATAGCTCTAGTGTCAGTGTTTGGGGATGTCTGGTCCCTTGCTATGGATTATCATGTAAATGAATGTTTTGTGAATTAATAGTAATGCATGGTTTTTAAGGATAAAAGGAGATTTAGTTTGACCTAATTAACTAATTATTGCCTTTTGCAATAACACACTGCTCTCTGCAGCTATAGCTAAATATTAAATTGAAACAAAGATCACTTCTATAAATATGTAAATGTTTGTCACTTAAAAATCCTTTGATAGAAGATGCTAAAGCTGTAAACCTTGGTGTTTGAGAAGATCTGCTTTTGATTTGGATGGTTCCTGAAGAGATATTCAGATTCTAAGCCGAGTTTCTTCCCTCAAATACCTGCATTGTCTTCAGTAATAAATTTGCATGCGAACTGGAGGAAGGCGTTTGGCCTATTCTTAGAGCAAGTCAAAATTACACTCTGCTTCTTCATGAACAGCTGTACGTCTTCCTATTATCTCTTGTGTATCAACGATGTGTGCAAGGCACAGAAGAAAGTCTTTGCCTTGGAGGAATTTACAGCCTAAATGTAAAGGCTGAAATGTTATTCAATGATTTTTATTAGGGTTAAGATCTCACTGTTCTTTACCACGAGGTTATAGTGTGCGGACAGATGCCAGGTGTGTATATTGGCTCCTGCTGTGCTGCAGGAAAAGAAGAGTATACACTGCTGCTTTTGCCCTTCTTACTGAAAGTTTCCCCTGTATGATCTACTTGCATGAACCTGCATGTGGCTGCTTTCTAACTTGGTTCTTATAATATTATCCCTCTTAGCTTCAACTATGTAAAGTGTTTTAAGTTTTTCTAAAGTTAATTACTCTGACAGTTGGGTTGGGGAGCAAATACACGTGGTTATGTTGGCAGACTGGGGAGAAGGGTGAAAAATTTTGGTGAAAGAAAAGAGCAGTAATAAGTGGCTGGGAGTAGAAGCCTTTTTACTTGCCCACTGTCACCAAAGCACCACCTCCAACCACAGGTGTAGTTATTGACACCCATCGGGTGGGTGAAGCTGGATTTCATTATCAGACTTGAGACCAGGGCTGGATCTGGGTCAGGCTGACAGTTGGAGGGAGTGTAGTGCATGTGGATGGGGAAGAGCTGGCAACAGATGGCATCATAGCGGAAAGAATGAGGCAGCTCATCAGCTGGCAATGCTTCTGCTGCATTTTGCCAATTATTTGTTTTCTTCAGGGAGGAATTCAGTGTTTGTTTTGTGATTAGTTTTTATAGTCATTGACACTAGGAAATCATCTTGTCTACTCTGAATTTAGTATTCCTTACATTTAAAGCAATTTTAGATGCTAAGGAATATGGCTAGTCATCACATTTTAGGACTGGATTTTCTTAATCAAAAAAAAGTCCAAGTTATATGTAAATGTGGCAAAGGGTTCCCCAAAACCTGAAGCAGAATATTTTTCTTTGGCAGATGGTTCTACTGTAATTACTGATTCATAATCTTTTGAAAAATGAAGTAAGCTACTCATTATGAGTTTATGAACTAAGCATTTCAACTAAGTGAACTTGTTTATATCGCTTACTGCCTTTACAGTAAGCTTAGAGTTGTAAAATATAAGCAGTATTTCCTAAGTCGGGATAATTTAGTTTAGTGATTGCATAGAAGAAAAGGACTCATACATTCATTTTTTGTTCAAATAAGTATTTCTTAAGCTTTGTTAAACAATGAGATAGTTTTATTAATCATTCTGGTTTTCTTAAACACCTAAAATATATAAAACCAAGTACTAACTTAATCTCTAGGGAGTTTAGCAGTTTAGTTTTCAGAAGAGATGGGATTCTCATTGACTAATTTTTCATGTGCTTTTTTAAATTCTTGCCATAGGTTTAAATTATCATTAACTTACTGATGAATAATAGTGATTGTTAAGCTTTAAAATTTTAATACTTTTTCTACATCTGTTTAGTTAAAAAAATGACTAGCTGCCTGTGAGAAGGACAACTGCTTTCTTGAAGGGAGAATTTATCTAATTATATATAAACATTTATTCCGTGCTCATCACCATAGTAACTGAGGCCTCAAGTCAGTGTGCTTTGAGCAGGGTTGCAAATACTGTAGTGAGCCAAGGCCTGAACTTCTGTATGAAAGTGCAGTTTCACAGTTGGTTGAGGCACGGCTAGTCCCTGCTACACCTTGACCTCTCCTGTGTGCTACTATTTGTATTCCTGTGGCTGCAAGCGTGGTGGGATTGGGGAGCTAATGTGACTGAACAATAACCTCCCCAAAAATTTGTGTACACCAAATCGTCCTTCTAATCTGGCTGACTGCATGATTGCGTGAGCACTAGTGAGGCACTGGGAAGAGTCAAGAATGTGTGATTGTGATAAGTGTGGAGGGACAGCTACAAATTAAGCTGATTACATAGCTGCTGCTGAAGCTACTTGTTTAGGGCCTGACTATGCTGTAGCTGGAATCATTAAAAAACAGGTATAGGCTTGGGAGTTAAGCCAGTTTAAGTGAGGAAATGATCTAACCGATAGTAATTTTGAAGTGTTTTTGTGACTTTAGCAGTATATTCCTGAGCCAAGTATATCTACTGCCTATACTAAACTGCTGTTCTGAGAAAGGAAAATGCTAAAAGGATGGAAATTTGATGTCTCTTCTCATATGTTGACCTCTGAAAAGTGGCCACAGTATTTTATCAGAATGTTCACTTCAGGAGCTCTGTTACCATTAACTTACTGCATCTCTTTATTTTCAGTTTTATCTTCTTTTTATCTGTACCTAGACAACTGCTTTCAGAGAAACCTCATGTTTTTACTTCAGCTTTCTTTCTAACAGCAGCAAGGGTAGTAGCTAGCTATATCTGTAGCCTATTTGTAAATAAATTTCAGACGTATTCCTTTTTCGGCTGCTCCCTCTGCCTTATAAAACATTGCAATAGAATGTGTTTTATAACTACAAAACTTTACAGACTCAGCTTCTAAAACATATTTATCCTAAAAAAAGTAAAAGCCCTCATCAAGTTTATCTGCTACATTAACCAGGCCTTCATTTTGAGTCTTTAAAATTATGGTGCCATTTTATTTTCCAGTGCGCTTAAGATCATCACTTCATCATCCAAGGACCTGATCCCATGGAGACTTGCATGCTTGTTTAACAATGGATGTTTCAAGCGGTACCACTGATTTATTACTCTTCCTACTGTTACCTGATTTGAAGACAGTCAGGTACTGGGGCATCTACATTACTTCTGCAGTATTTGCAAAAAGATAAATGATTTGCAGGTGTAGCACAGCACTACAACTAATCACGCTAGCAAACTGCAGCATGAAATGTGATCTTGTATAGCCATTTATAGCCTGAGTTTTTAAGAGCTGTAACTCTGCTTTTGGCTTGGTTAACTTCTGTGGCTGTTGTAGATTACATTTGCAATCAAGTTTTTGCCAAACTTCCACTCGATGTTAAGGTCATGTTTACTACTGCACAACTGCATAGTGAAGAGTTGCAGTAAAAGCAAAATAAACTTTAAGATTCTTGACGAAGCAGCTTAGTGTTGCTCTACAGGAGCCTGATAGCAAGTGGATGTTGGGCAGAAGCTCAAACTGACTGTAGACCAAAGCAGAGTGTTGTTGGCAGCAGTTAAATTTTACTGTTTCATTATAACTGATGTGTCCTTGACTGCAGCTCTAATAAAAACATCTTGTGCGTGTTCTGAGTACTGTTTAAAAAAGAACATAGATGTAAGAAAACTAGAGGCTGCAGCTCTCCATATATGGTATTAGTACTGTGCAAGGTTTTCATCTATTAGCCAGACTGAGTGATCTGGTAGCCTCCTAGAAGAACTGTGCACATTAAATTTCTGGTGCTGTTGATGACAAGAATGCTGTTGCTGGGAAGTTTGAGTTCCTGTTACTCTTCCAGGGAATGGATACAAAGGCTAAATGTGGCCCTCCCAGATGAGGGTTAAGGTATGCTAGCAGTGAGCTGCAATGGAGCTTATGTTATGGCTATAACTGTTCTGGATTAGGCATCCACACTCACACACCCCTCTTTGTTTTAAAATGTTGTAAATAGAAGCATCTTTGCTGGTGTGAATGCCAGTAACTATCTGAGTTTTTTGGGGAAAAAAAACCAAAAACCAAAAAACCCAAAAAAACATGGCCAAGGGAAGGAGTATTACTGCCACTGACATTTTGAGAAGCCTTTTTTAGCTAGATTTAAGGAACAAAGTGTTTGCAGTGATGATCAGCTGCAATTGAGAAGCAAAATTCTCCAAAATACAAAGTTCCCTGTGTGAAAACAGGCCACAGAGCAGAGGAGAAAGATTTTTGTATTATCCTTACAGGAGGGAAGATATGTAAACCTAATTTTTGTTAAACACCAAAAATCCATAGAGGACCAACACCTTATTGTCCCACTTGTATAAAAAGCTTCAGCTGGAGGTCTCAAGTTTTTAAAGACCAGTCAACCAGATATGGAATATTAGTACACAGGAAACCAAAGTTCTTTATTTCTGGTACTATGGACAGATGTTTTTCCCAGTTTTCAGTTCCTGAAAAGTTGAGACAACTGGTATTTGGGGGAATGATTGTGCTAGCTTTCTGGTATGTTGGAAATACGTGTGCAAAAGTTCCCAGAACAGTATTAGAATTGAAATATAAGAGAGTTACTGGCCCGACTCGGTATGGTTTGTGTACTTTCAAATCCCAGTGAACCTGATGGGGTCTGAAACCTTTTCTCACAACTGGACTCAGCCGTTTTTTCTACTGTCAATTACTTTTGCTGATCTATTTTTGTTTTGGTACTATTTCCCATTATAGACATAATTAAAAGCAATTTGGAATAATTCTAATACTCGTGTATCAGGGAGGAACTAAACTACCAAAAGGGATTAATTTTGGTTCCTCTGCTTCAATATGATCGATATGTTTCAAATCTCAGTGAAGATGCCCATGGGCTTTCTAAATAATTTTTCTTAAATATCCGGTATTTTTGTGGAGAATTTTAATTTTTAGTTACTTCTACTTCAATGCAGGCATTTTTTGCAGGCTCCTGCTCTTGTTTAATTGTTGTATTCAAAGGTTGGAAAGTAAGAACACTTTTGTCTCCATTGATATTTCATAGATGCAAGTTACTCAGAAATGGCCATGCATCACATAGAACGTTGTAAATGCTCTCTTTTACCAGGCAGGTCAAATACCTTAAATAAAGCCATTCTGGATTGTAAAACTTTTAAAAGGATTCAATGCCTTCTGTAAAGCTTCGTATATGTTGTAATGATGTCCAGGCATCACGTGAGTGTTTCATGTTCCATAAAAGTGAGCTTCCAAATCAATGTATTGACTTTGCTCCTAACCTGGAGGCACTGTAGTTGCCCAAGTTCAAGTTTCACTCTCAAATAGCAATCTAATTGAAGCAGAAAAGTCCCGATAACTGTTCTGTTTTTCTGTGCTTGCTTCTTGTGCTCGTTTTGCCAGGCAGGAGTTAAATCATGTCATCTGGAGACTGCAGTTGGACTCTCCAGTCACATCCCCTTTTCTTTAGTTAAAATTGTGGTATGCTTCCTATGCAAGAGTAGCACAAAAAGGAACCATATTGGGATAAAATATCTGGTACTCATTAATGTTCAGGGTTAAGTAGATATGTAGCTTAGTAAGGATCATACCCTACCATTTATTTTTGCTAATTTGGAATACAAGAAAGGGTTGAGGCCAAGAGAACCTTAGAGAGCCAAATGATTATTTTAACCCTTCAGCTTGTTAGAAAGCAATACCTAAAAGGAAGAAAAAAAAAAAAACAAACTTGATGTTTATCAGTCTTATGTCTGAGTACCATAGTAATTTTACAGGCATGATACAGAGGTAAGTAGTCTATATTACTTAGTTATATACAATCTTAGTTATGAAATACTACTTACAGAGTAATAGCTCTTTAGATCAAAACAGTTTTTTGCAGAAAATTTTCTGTTACAAAATTTCCAGCTACTAGATCAAACAAATTAAGCATCCCAAACTTCCAGTTAACTTTTTGTGTGTAAATATTTTATTTCTGTTAAATATGCTTCACAATGAAAAGGTTTTGGTAAGGTTTTAGTTGGCATGTGTTTTTCTAAACTTATTTGAAAAGTAACTCATTTTTGAAGGATCTTTAATATTAGGAAATGCTTTAAATAACAAGAGACAATTCCCTTTTCAGAATTGGCTGAGATTTTTCTGATTCTTACAGCTTCTAATGTCCCTTTTTCTTTCAAGTCAAGTAAAGCAGATAGATGCTTAGTAATTCTGACATTCAGGCTATGTATCTAGGTATCTAGCTTGGTTAAAACATTCTGGATCAGTTTATAAGAGTGATTATTGGAACTGGAGTGAAACCAAGTAATGCTTGTTTCCCAGACTTGAATTCTAATTACCTACCTCGTACTCTGACCTTTGCCTTTTTATCTTGAGTAAAATCTACTCCAGTGTTTTATTTCTCAGTTGCAGTTTCAAGTTGTAAGAGAGTGATTCTTTTCAGGATCTTTAAAAAGTCCATAATTTTTTTTCAGATGTAGCAAAAAAAAAAAATCTTAAAGAAATAGAACAGGAGTCATGGAATGAGTGTAAATATTGACATGCTGTCTTAGTAAGCTACAAGTCCTACTGGGAAACTTGATGTCAAGTTCACTTTAAGTCCTTGTACTCAAAGTAAGTGAAATGAGTGCTGAAAATGCAGTGTTCCTCAAGAAAGATTTTTACTTGACCTAAGGAGATTTAACCTTCCAAGATGATGTTGGCTACCTTGCAAATGTATCACTGAGGATGCTTTTTTATCTGCTTTCTATGTTCAAGCTTTATCAGTATTCACACTGAACTTTTAGGAGACTCTCTGGACATTTCATTTTATGAAACATCAGCAACAGATGTAATTATCACTGGAAAAAAAAAACAAACCAACAACCAAGGCAGCTTTACACAGCTGTCGCTTTTCCCTCTGGGACTCATTATATGTTATACAAACAAGACTCTCTGGTTGCCTTTGCTTGTATTGGGACTTGCGGTCTCTTCTCAAACTATGCTGTCTGGCCTGTTTTGTTTCATTATTAATATTTTTTTAGCAATCTACATTTACCATAGAGCATGATAATTTTGCAGGCTTAATTACCTGTGAAGAGGAAAAGTTTTGCTGTGAAAAATTACCCTGAGCCTAGAGTATGATCTGACGTGGTCTGCAGATTGTTTGGATGTATTTTTTTTTCCTAAAATGTTAACTAGAACTTTGATTAAAGAAAACTTAATGCCACTAAGTTATCACACCAGAGCTGTCTTTTCTGACCTAACATTTAGCCTTCTGTTTAGCTGACCATGGCCTGCAGCTGAATCTGTCTTTGCTAGCGTTGATTGTGTAAGCCAAAACACAGCCCACATGCTTATACCATAGTTGGCTTTGAAGTAATAGCAAGTATTGAAGACAGGGAAGACTTGTAATATTTTTTTTAAGTTATGACTTTAATAGGAGGAAAGAGTTCTGAGCAGCATGTGCTATTTTTTTTATGTGGCTAGTCATAAATCAAGATTAAGACCTTTAGAGCAGAAGATATATTTGGCCTAATCCTTTCTACCCCATTTTGTTCCACAGAGCTTTGATCTGTTATTAGATCTCTGTGTATAGATCTGTATATATAGCAGTAAGTTATTCATGGCAGAACTGTTTCTTGAAACTTGTATAAAGCTAAAAACTAGGTGAGCAGGATATCTCTAGTGCTCTAAGTGTACAAACCCATAATGCATTCTTAAACACAGAAACTGGTGCCCAGGCTTATTACCTATCACATGCAAAATATGTTTACCCTGATATTTTGAAATTACTATTACAACAGGCCTCGAGGGCTCATTGTCCCCTTTGTGTGCATGTGTTATTCCCACTGTTGACAATGAGAATTAGCTGTACATATCAGGAGGAGGATATACCCATTGGACTAGAACCTAGACAGCAGGGAATATGAAATTCTCTAGCTATTAGATGGTGAGAACAGCACAGCTTAAGCATCGCTCCCACTTGGCTTGTCACCTCTGTATTTTGTGACTTTTTGCTAAGGAAACAGTAGTGGAAGTAGCAGCTGTGAAATGTGATGATAGCACAGTGCTACCTTGATAGAAATTGCAGCTCGGAGCTGCAGATCAAATGTAGCCCAAAATTTTGAATGATGAAAGTGAGCTGTTCTTCTAGAAAAAGCAGCCATCCAGGTTAA